CTGTACGTCTGCGCCGCCGCGGAGCCGTTCGTGGCTCGCCACCACCATCGCGCGCCGAATTCATTTCCCGGCCAAGCGCCTCGCCCACCACTTGACCCACAAGCCGCTTGTTTATTTTACCAACCACGACGATCCTGTTGTCCAGGCCAAGGTCGTTCGCTACGTCCTCAACAATGAGCTGCGCCGGTGGATCAAGTTTGTGCGGGTTTATCCTCACCGCACCACCGTGCCAGGGGCCATCCCAGCCTCGTACCTCTACCTCCAACGGCAGCATCCAGACATGCGCATCGATTACGTCGCCGTCGTTGGCGACTTTTCGCCCGCCATGGTCCGCCACATCTCGTTTGTCCTCCACGTCCCCACCATGTTCATGTTCATGTCGAGCTTTGGCGACTCGTTCCCGCACTCGTACATGTCGCTCGGTGGCCTCCGCCTGCTGATGTAGCCTGTCCTAACACTCAATCCCATCCCCTGCCTCTGCCACCAACCCTGCCTCTGCCAGCTCGTCCTCCAGCTCGACGACCCGTGCTCGGAGTGCCGTCATTCCGGCCCGCAGCTCTGCGTTGGTCGCCATCAGCTCGTTCGCCCGGCTCGCCGCCCGTCGCCGCAGCTCGTTTGCCCTGCTCACCGCCGCGGCATCGCGAGCGCGGCCGGCCTCGAGCTCGGCAACCCGGGACTCGAGCCGGGCACATGACGCCCGCGCATCGTCTAACGCGCTGTGGACCGTCGTCCGGCCCCCCTGCTCGGTACTGGACGCCCGCAGCAGTGATCGGCGAGTCGCCTCGGCCGTCGGCGACGTCAGCGGCTGCTGCGGCGGCTCGGACTGGGACTGGGACTGGGACGGTGGCCATGGCGTTTGCAGAGTCTGCGGCGGAGGCGTCCACGGCGTCCGCGGCGGCGACGCTGACACTGCCCGGCGGCTCGGCACGTGCCCCTCCACAGCGTCGAGCACCTCACGCGGGACAGGAAGGCCGGCGCGGCCCAGGAGGCCCGCCAGGTGCAGGATGTGGTCGTGGGCGGTGTTGAGCCGTGCGCGGAACAGGAGCTCGCGGTGGGCAACCAGGTCCATGGCCTCAACAATGGCCGTGCGAATGGCCGGTATGGTCTCGGGCAGCGGTGCCGGATGCGCACCAGCTGACAAGGGGCTTGTTGGTCTTCTGGAGCTGTGTCCGTCCATGGCGGCCGCAGCTGCGAGAGGTGGTGACCACCCACCGGGACGCTGCCAGGGCTTGACTGGGGGAGAAGAAGGGGGGGGGGCAATTAAGGCGCGACCAAGACACATCCAATGCAATTGCAGAGTTGGTCTGGAGAGTGTCCAAGCCCCTCGTGCCCTTCCCCCTCACCTGGCCCCTTCACCCAGTCTGCTTTCCCCCAAGCAGCCCCCTCCCCCCCACACCCCCTCCCTCCGGAAACAGAAAACTAAACCCAAAGACCGGGTCGTTACCTGTCATCCCCATGGCCAAATCCCGCGCTTCGCAAATCAAGTCGCGCGCGTGGAAAAAATACCCGCCTGCATGCCCCCCCCCCCCCCCCCCCCTCTCCCTGTCCTGACCCACGCTGCTGACAACGGCAAGTCGCACCACCTCTCGCAGTAGTGCGGCACGAAGCGTTTCGGGCCCCCATTACACGACACAGGATTCGGCTGTCTTCGGTTATCCTCCCGGTCTTTGTCATTGTCCTTACAGCGCGTATGGGCTCCCTGGTGACCTCGGCATGCAACGCTCTGTTTAACCTACAGTGGTGGCAGGCTGGCCTTGCGCTGCTTGTGGTGTACAAGGTCATCCAGTGGCTGGTCTGGCTCACGTCGACCGAGTCGGTCAAGGGCAAGGTCGCGGTCATTACCGGTGGCGGCAGCGGGCTCGGCCGGCTGATGGCGCTCAACCTGGCCAAGCAGGACGCCGTCGTTGTCCTCGTCGACATCAACCGCAAGGGCCTCGTCGACGTGGTCAACGAGATTGCTGCTTTCAACGGTCTCGCCTACGCGCACCTCTGCGATGTCACCGACCGCGACGCGGTCTACTCGCTCGCCGAGCAGATTTCTGCCACCGTCGGCCCCGTCGACATTGTAATCAACAACGCTGGCGTTGTTTCGGGCAAGTCGCTGCTCGAGGTCTCCGACGCAATGGCCGAGCTCACGTTTGACGTCAACGCCGTCGCTCACTTTTGGTTTGTCAAGGCCTTCCTCCCCTCGATGCTCGTCCGCAACTCGGGCCACATTGTGTCTATTGCCTCGGCCGCAGGCCTGGCGGGCGTGGTCGGCCTCTCCGACTACTGCGCCTCCAAGTTTGCCGCCATCGGCCTCATGGAGGCGCTCCGCCTCGAGCTTGCCCGTCAGAACTCGGAGGTCAAGACCACCACCGTCATGCCGTTTTACATCAACACTGGCATGTTCGACGGCGCCTCGGGCATTCCGTTCATCCTCCCCATCCTCGACGCCCAGGAGACTGCCGACCGCATCGTCCTCGCCATCCAGCGCGGCGAGAAGATGCTCTACCTCCCGCCCATCCTCGGCTTTGTCTCCCTCCTCCGCGGCATCATGCCCATCGGCCTCTTTGACTACCTCTCCACTCTCCTCGGCATTTCGGCCTCGATGGACCAATTCAAGGGCCGTGGCCAGGATTGGCACGAGGGCGCCGACAACTCGGTCTCGATCACTGACGAGAGCGATGATGAGTTCTGACCATTCTCTAAGCTCCATCCGCATAAACTCTTTCAGCCCGTCCCATGATTTTTACTTCCGGCTGTGTGTGTGTGTGTGTGTGTGTGTGTGTGTGTGTGTGTGTGTGTGTGTGTGTGTGTGTGGTGGGTGGGGAGGGGGGAGGGGGGGGAGGGGGGAGGAGGAGGAGCACGCCTCATTCGTTCGAT